CTCACGGCAGCCCAGCTCCAGGTTGAGCTGTTGTTCAGCATCTTAGCTGTGGAGGGCAGTGTCACTGGCCCTCATATGTGGGATCCAAACTGGGGGCCCTCTGGCGTCCCAAGCCAGTTCTTAACCATTGCGCCACTCGGCCGGCCCACAGTGTTAATGTTTTGTAAAACGTTAAAACAAACAGTACACTTAGGATATTGAAGTTCAGTTGAAAAACGTTTGTAAGGACCACTTTCTCCACTTGTGAAACCCTGAAGCTTCAATTCAGTCCATTATCCATTAATTCACAGGAAGCTAGACAGAATGTTCCTGCTTTATATTGGTGTCATAAGAAAATCAATAATGTTGTAAAGATAATGTAGGGTACCAGATAGGTACTGGACTTATCAGGGGGAATCACTTTGTAGACTGTGTAGATGCCTGACCTCTGTGCTATACCCCTGAAGCTGAAGTAGAATAATATTGAATGTCAACTATAATTTTATATATTAAAATTATATATAATTTTATATATTATACACACACATATATGTATATATATTCATTCATGGGATGTGAAATACAGCATAGAGAATATAGTCAATGGTATTGTAACAGCTATATACGATGTCAGAGGGGTAGTAGACTTGGGGAGGGGTTATTCCTTTGTGTTGCTTGTAAATGTCAAACTATTATGTTGCTTTGTACACCTGAAACTAATAAAACAAATAAAGGAAAAATAACTCCAGTTCATGTAATAAATGACAGACTTTAACAAATTTTTTTTTAATTTAAAAGATGATTCCAAAACAATATTCCAGTTCTCATTCCTTACATAAAGGCAACCTTGTATACAGATCATTGTCCTTTTCTGGGACTGTTTGACAAATATTCTCTTTGGGAGAAAGGAAATATAGCCTTTTTTTTGCATTATTTGGAGTTCTGTAAGTTTCACTCATTATTAACTGTGTTTTTGTGTCTATCTCTCTGCTCTAGCGTTACCTGAAGATCTGTATGCTTTTTCTTATAATCCCAAATCTTCAAAAGAGATGAGGGACTTTGGTTGGAAACTCATTGACCCAATATCAGACTTTCAACGTATGGGACTACCCAACAGGTACTGGACCATAACAGATGCCAACAGAAACTATGAGGTAATTTTGTCATTGTTGTTTTCCTTTAGGTTCATTTAATTAAAACAGAAGAATATCAGCAAACAATGTTTTGAATAAAGAAAAAAAAATCAGTCACAGTCTCTCCTTTTCATTCGACATTCAGCCATGCAACAAGCATTTATTAAGTGCCTACAGCACTTGAGACACTGAGTCAGAGTTGTCATAGACTAAAGCATAGAACACTGTGGGAGCATAGATAAAGGCTATGGAATTCAGACTGGGAAGCCAAAAACAGCCTGACACTTTGGGAAATAGTCTGGAGAAGGAAATCTATCTTAATTTATACAGGGAGAGAAAGACAGAGATCAGGAAGTGAAGTCAGATCATGAAGGGCTTCATGGCCAAATTAAGGAATTTGAACATTATCCTGAAGACAGGAGTCACTATAGTTTTAAGTTGGAAAGGAATGTGAGTACATTTGTATTTTAGGAAGATAACTGGTAAGTGGTATGGAGAATTGGTGTGCTGGAGCTAAGAATACAGAAGAATGATATGAGAAGTGATGAGAATCTGGACTAAGGTGATGACTATGGATGGAGAGAGAGGAGGAGATGGTTTTAAGAGATATTTAGGTGGTATAATTGAAAGAACCTGGTGACAGATTAATGTGGCTGGGAGAAAGAAGGAGAATTTTAGTATGCGTCCCAGGTTTCCTGGTTTTTGGCTGAGGTGACCAAATGGGTAATGGATATGTTAGGCAAGATAAGGAGCACAAGAAAAGGACAATGTTTTCAGTTTTAGACTTGAGTTCAAGGTGATCCAAAATATATCAAGTATTTGATACCAAGTATTTGAGTCTAGATCTCAGTAAAGAGCTCTGGGCCAAATATGGTGGTCTGGGAATGTGTTGGGGGTCCTCAAGACCCTCCCTCAGGTTTAGTGACTCACTAGGGGGACTCACAGGACACACAGGTACTTGTGGCTATGATTTATTACAGTGAAAAGGTATAATCAAAATGAGCAAAGCGAAAAGGGGCAAAGTCTAGAGAAAACCAGGCACGAACTTCAGAGTCCTCTCCCAGTGGAGTCACATAGGACATGCTTAATTCCTTTAGCTGGAAATTGTGACAACATGTGGAAAATGTCTGTAGGGGAAGCTCATTGGACAATCAGTGGCCAGGATTTTTGTTGGGGCCTGGTTCATGCAGGCACTCTCTGCCTAGTGTATACCAAAGTTTCAGATGCCTAGAAGGAAAATAGGAGTTTGGCATAAACCACATTGTTTGTACAAACAGTTTAGGCATGGTGAGTCACTCTTACCAGTTAAGGAATGGTGGGAACCCTTCCAAAATCCAAGTTCCCATGCATCAACCAAGGGCCAACCTTATAAGCAGGGCTTTCTAAGGATAGCAGTCAAGGTTGCTATGATAACTTTTCTGCACAGGGAGTCATTGATGTTTAAGTGGTATCTCTGAATTGATGGATCTTTATTTACAGCTTTTTACTATCATAAAAGACAGTAATTGTAATGGCTTTCTGGTAACACAGTTTGGAATATCCACTAGATACGACGATTGATGAGCTGTCACTTAGCAGGACCATTTGTGAGGTGGCATGTTAGGGCCATACTTGACAGGAATGAATAGACATGAGGTGAATTGTTTCCAGTTAAAATATATGTCTAAGTCCCCCAAATGAGGCCTGAAATATCTGGGTTGGCACCTGGGATGCATGTAACCTTCTGAGTTGTTAGAGAAGTTCCATTTATTTCTCTTTGTATGACCCACTTCTCCAAAGTCTGAGTCCAGGTAAGGTGATGGGTAGAGAGCTTTTTCTCTTTCAAATGTTCTGTGTTTTAAGGATATTTACTTTAATGAGTTACTTAGAACCTAATCTACCTCAAACTTTTTTGCCTATTAATATTTTTATTTATTTGATCCATTGTCAAAAGTTTAAGGGTGTTCTTTACTTAGAGGAGTGATTAGAATTAGGTTTGTGCCATTATAATACTTTGTCACTGTCTCTTTAGAAAGATATATTTTGGTAATCAACCACTAACAGCTGCTAAATTTGAGAAAATGTATCAGTCTTTTTATAGACTAACTCATACCTGAAATGTTAACACTTCTACCCCCAGACTGGTGTTTTAAAGGCCCTCAAGATGCATAAACTAGGAACTGAATATGCATTTTAAGAAAGAGTACATCATGTTTTCTCCTTTTCCACCTATCTGCCTTATATTTGAGTCTATTTGTTTTAATTTACTTATTTATGATATACATTGTTTGCTCTGATAGGCAAGTGTAGGAATTTCAGGGTACAGTTATATGTGCACTTCTACTTATAACATGCATTTCTACCTATAATGTTAGTACCTTTTGTTCTTAAATATCTCAGTGTGTTCCTTTCTACAAAATAATAGCATACTTGGAAAAGCTATTACACCAAGTATATTTTTGTTCCTGTTTCTGAGGAATGGATGATTCTAAGATAAATACTAGAAAGCTAATGCTTAAGTGATTGCTATTCCAAACTGTTGGTATCAAGTGAAAAATATTAAAAATATATATATTGAGATTAAAAAATTGACTTTTCTTTTAGATATGCAGTACCTACCCTCCTGAAATAGTGGTTCCTAAATCTGTTACCTTGGGAACAGTGGTTGGAAGTTCAAAGTTCAGAAGTAAAGAACGGGTACCTGTGCTCTCCTACCTCTACAGAGAGAACAATGTGAGTTGAGCGAACTTCTCTCATGAGAACTAAACTTGATTCTAGAAGATGTGAGTTTAATTCCCACCACTGCCACTTGCTAGCTATGTAATCTCAAGCAAGTTACTTCTCTGAACTTTAGTACTTTTGAGGGTTTTTAAGTGGATCACATATGAGAAAATATATGTGTACTTTGTAAATTGTAAACTGCAGATGTTAAGTAGCATTTTTGGTGTGTGCATTTGTTTCTTTCCTTCTCTGCGGGCTCCAGCTTGATGGGACGTTGTTGAATGAAAGGGAGCTGGTTGTATGAAAGGATATTTGGGGACTGTGGCCTCCCACTACAACACGGACATCCTTGATTCTTTCTCACTTATAATTTAAGGCAGTAGGAAAGAGCACTTAACTCCTTCATTTGAGTCCTTTTCCATAGGATGGGATAATAATTCTTCCCTCTTGTGGTCATTCTCAGATCTGGAGTTAGACAAATAGTCATTTTCTCAAGTAGGCTACTATTCAGATGCTAAAGAGTATAGTGATACAAGTGAGTGTCTTGGTGTCAAACTATCAAGGTGAGCAGATTCCTTAAAAAGTACACCGAGGTGCCAGCTGAGTGGCTCAAGTGGTTAAGAGCACGAGCTCTGAGCAACAGGGTTGCCGGTTCGATTCCCACATGGGATGGTGGACTACCCATTTCTCCCCCCCACCCCCCCCACCCCCCCTGCAACTAGATTGAAAGCAGCAACTGGACTTGGAGCTGAGCTGTGCCCTCCACAACTAAGATTGAAGGACAACAACTTGACTTGGAGCTGATGGGTCCTGGAAAAACACAGTGTTCCTCTTCCCTAATTCCCCAACACTGTTCCCCTCCCCAGTTCCCCAATTAAAAAAAAAAAGTACACCGAAGTACAATGCAGTCCATTAACTAATCATTACCAAACATACCTGCTAAATAGCTATGTGGTTTTTATATTGAAATGGCTCAAAACAAACCAGCCCCTCTGATTTGACATTAATGAGAGTGAATCCTGCTCTCTTATATCTGCTCTATCTGGAATTCTGCTGCCACTGCCAGCCTCTGGTTTCTTTGGGTGATATTACTGCGACGACTATAAAAAGCAGGGCAGTTTCTGAAAAACACTAGCCTAATACATATTGAGAATAGAATTTTATTAAGGAAGCACTCAAGAGGTGATTTTCTTATAGTCTAGATTTGCCAAGACTAGGTTCAAAATCTTAGCCAAGTAGAAGGGAAAAACAAGGCTATTCTGAGCCGCAGTTTGTGGTAACACAGCTCACATGGCAGGGGAGGCAGGAGGCTGAGCCCAATGTTAGTGGCACGGCTGCATTTCATAATTACACCTCTCTTTGCTGCACTATTCTGAGTTGGCTCATCTTTCTCTGCTCACCAAACCTGGGATCAAGGAGGATTTTTGACCACCTGTGCATATGATCACTCAACTGGCACTTTTTTTTCCTTACAGGTTGCCATTTGCCGCTGTAGCCAGCCTCTGTCTGGATTTTATTCCCGCTGCATGGATGATGAGCTCTTGCTAGAGGCCATTAGCCAAACGAACCCGGGGAACCAGTTTATGTATGTTGTAGACACAAGACCAAAGGTATCTATCAATCAATGACCTCTTTAATATTCCTTCTTCACTCATTTTATAATCTCCATCCCTACATGTTGAACCTCACAATGTTATTGAGAAAATTAGATTTGTGTATATGGGCTTATTGTGTCAGACATTGTGTAGAATAATTTGAGCAAGACATTTGGAGCTCCTTTTATTGTAGCCTGTTACTATCAAGCAAGACTGAGATGTCCTTGATTCTTTCAAAGATACTTTGAATAACCTGGCTTTTAGACTTCCTGAATTTGTGACATCTGAATTGAATGCCTAGAGGCTCTTTGATGTTCCCTTGTCTTTTAACTAGATCTTTTCATCGATCAGAATTTTTAGTATTCCTCTTCTGTGGTATAAATTTACTATCAGAGAATGCATTTCAACTTAACACTGGAAACTTATTAATACCAACATATCTTTTTGTAAATAATGCATGAAATCACAGTGGGTTAGTAATACTTTGGTATCTCCTGAAGGAGCCGGGTTCACAAATACGACTGCTATATGATTAACAAAAATTATTTAGCTCATGTGGCAATAATTTTTTTTAAACATCCGGCACTATTTGCTGATTAAGTTTTTCCCAGTTCAATAAAGTGAAGTTCAAGTCTTGGTCCCAGAGAAAAAGAAAGGAGCAGAAACATAAGTTTTCCATGGATTTTGACAGTGGACATGGTCCTAGTGAAATCCTTTGATTTTTCCAAGAGCCAGATACTGAGTGATTTGTTTCAGTGTGTTTCCCAGGGTCTCTCTCTTTCAAATGGGAATGTTACAGAAAGAAGGGACCTCAGATCAACCTAAGTATCAACCTAAGCTCTCTGCATTAATTCCTTAACCTGCAACATATTGTCTAGCTCTGTTAGGGATTGTAGAAGAATTGTGCCCCATGAAGCAAGTAAAGGACATATTTCCTTTTCCTAAAGGCTGTCTTTTTCACAAACAGCCCCAGAAAGAAGCAAGTTTTCCTGTAATTTGATGTGTGGAGTATAGCTGACTAGGAGCTTTCATTGCTAACTACTGATCGCCAAGTCAGTGATTTAGACCTAAGCCTAAGCCAGGTGGTTGTGGCATCAGAGTTGAGCGATTGGCTGCACATGAAACCAGATAGTGGTCTTAGACAGCTGTCTGCCACATTTTGGGGAATCTCTCACTGGCTATTCTCCAGAGCTACCTACCACTGACTGGACTCAAGAGAGAGAATAATTTTCCTTTCTGCTTAGGCACTATTTTTCAGTTTCTCAGAAGTTTGATGTCTTACTTCAACCATAATTGCATCTGCCATTCGGGATTGGAAAGAGTTTAATCAAATCTTTATCTTTGTCAAGATTAAATAACCTTAAAATGGTAAAGAGAAACACCAACCTTTTGAAAAATTAAAGGATTGGTGCCTTTTTTTCCAAGCCCAGGACCAAAAAGCCCCTTTTACCAGATTCCTTTTTCCCTCTCTCAGAAGGCCTGGAAATGCCTAGCAATCACCCTCTCCTAAATGGCTAGATCTATACTTTTAGTAGAAACTGAACTGTAGTGACAAAATTACATTTTTAGGAGTCAGACAAACCTGGGGTCAGATCCTGCCTTCAGCCCTTATCCATATGAGTCTGGTTGAAATTGGTTCACCTCTCTGAGACTGTTTTCTTATGGGAATAATAATAGTGCCTATCTTGAGGGGCGATAGTAAGGACTCAATGAGATAATGCAGGTAAAGGATCTAGCATGGTGTCTAGCATGGCACATACAAGGAGTTCAGTAAATATTATATCTCTTCCCTACTTGAACATTAGGCTGCAAATATAAAATATAAAAAAATAGCTGTGCCTCAACTGTCAAACATATTACCAATGAGTTTATAGTGCTACCATGTAGCTAGCTAGCTGGCCTTTCTAGTGCTGCCCAGACCTGCATAGGGACTGCTGTAATTATTGTTTTGTTTGCTGAAGCATTCATCAATCATAGCAAACTTCCTTGCCACTAGGTGGCTGTTGCTTGTACCTCCACAGATGTTTCTTTGACATTTGTCACTAATTTAATGAAATCTCAGCGACATTAGTCTGTGTGCTAAGTAGTCAAAATGACCATCATGTTTCTCCCTTTCATGAGTATCTTGCATTCTAACCAGAATATGCTGACATAGACTTTTTCCCCCTGAATGTGTTAACATGAATAGTTTGTGCTTTTGAGGTTTTAGTGGCGTTTTTTCTATTAATACAAAAACTACACCCTGTCCAGATACATGCTCCTCCTGCCTTCTGAAATGCACAATACTGGGAGATGAAAACACAGGCCCAGATAACCAAAAATTATTTGATTAGTAAGGTAGTTATCATAAAAGGTATTTTGGCTGCTTTCTGGTTATTGTATTAATATCTCCTCTCTGCAAGTCTTATTTACTCCCTCCCCTGCCCAACATTCTTCTTATAACCTAGAAATACTCTGATTACCACAAGCTTAACATAGTGTTAAAACAGGTCTTGGTAGCTCCATTTCAATTTTATTAGTGGTGAAAGGCATTTATCTTGTGCATGTTTTAGACATTTTTCTAGAATAGCTATTTAAAAATTGGCCCTGAAGTTCTTAGACTTCTTTTTAGAGCTTCTCAGTTGTAAAGATTTTTGAACTTTCATGTTTCCCAGTACCCCCTTTCAGTTGAGAAAACGTTTGTGAAGGGAAGCTCAAAAATTATTATTTCATTTCTTCAGATCATATATCCTCGTACGTGCCATAACCTTTCAATCTCTTAAGCAGGGTTTTAACAATAAAACAAAACGACAAAATCTCTCTCTCTTTCTCTATACTACCTGTTACTTAAGATACTTGATCTAGGGGCCGGCTGAGTGGCTCAGTTGATTAAGAGCTCGCTCAAGGGTTTGAGCTCTGAGCAACAGCGATTCGAGTCTGGCCTGAGCTGAGCTGCCACTGAGCTGCTAACAGGTGGCAGGATGGCTCAGCTAAAAAAATAAAATAAAATAAAAGTATAAAAAAAAATAAGATACTTGATCTAAAAACCAGTGAAAGTCTCCATTCCAGGATGTACCCTGTCTGATTTAACTTCTTTTTTGTTTTAAATTAAGGTTTATTGGGGTGACAATGGTTAGTAAAGTTACATAGGTTTCAAGTGTACAATTCTGTAATATATCATCTATATAGCACATTGTGTGTTCACCACCCGGAGTCAGTTCTCCTTCCATCACCACATATTTGACCCCCTTTACTCTCTTCTATCAGCCCCCACTCCACTCCCCCCATACCCTCTGGTAACCACTAAACTATTGTCTGTGTCTGTGAGTTTTTGTTTCTTTCTTTGTCTTGTTCCTTTGTTGCTTTCAGTTTTATATCCCACATATCAGTGAAATCATATGGTTCTCGACTTTTTCTATCTGACTTAGTTTGCTTAGCATAATAATCTCAAGATCCATCCATGTTGTTGCAAATGGCACTATTTCATCTTTTCTTATGGCAGAGTAGTATTTAATTGTGTGTATATATATATCACATCTTCTTTATCTAATCATTTATTGAAGGACACTATGATTTAACTTCTTTTTAAATGGGTAAGATTTAAAACTATTTAGAATAAGGCATTGAGATTGATGAACCCTGTTGTTTCATCCTCTGCCTAATATGCTCTATTATGTCCTCATCTATTACAGTTGAACGCCATGGCCAACCGAGCAGCTGGGAAGGGGTATGAAAATGAAGACAACTATGCTAACATTCGCTTCAGGTTCATGGCCATTGAGAATATCCATGTGATGCGGAGCAGCCTGCAGAAACTCTTGGAAGGTACAAGGATTTCACCTTGGCTAGGCCAGAGGCCATAGCTTTGCATTATTATATACACAAAAAGCTTGCCTGATTTGGGGTGGAACATAAAAGCAGCCAGGTGAGCAGAGTCAATAGGTGATAAGGTTTTTGACTATACTATGAACCCAGCTTACATTGTACTGAATTATAGCAGTGTCAGTCTAGCAGAGGAACTAAGATGTGCAGTTTCATAACCCATTGGAGTCCATCTTTGTTTAGTTGCCATGGAAATAATTTCTATAGAATTACAGAGGCGGGTGTTTAGGGGTGGGTAGGTCAACATAAGTATAAATGAATTTGGGATTCATTGTATCATCCTCAAGGTAAGAAATCACCTCATTTAATCTACTGTAAGGAGTCAGTCTGATTTCATCACTGTGCTGATGAAGGGGGTGAATTTAGACTTCAGTGGAATGAAGCTGATATCAGACAATTTGGGTCATCTGTCATCACTACAAAATAATTGGAGTCATAGTGGGGGCAAGATGAGATTGGGGCCTTACAACAAGGACTCTTGAGTCTAGAACATTTCTTCCAAAGCCACTACCCAGGATTCCATGATACAGGTATGTCAACTCAGGAAGAGATAGTGAAAACCTGCCTTCTTTAGTGAACTTCCTATTCTTCCTCTCTTTTCTTCAATTTTGTACTTATGGTGTAGGCCAGGACCTCTCCCTTACATGACCCTTATCAAACCCTGTTTCCTCAGTCTGCATCCTTTTTAGGACATTAGTGCTCCTCTTCCTCGGGTGTCTTCCTCCTCTCTTTTTTTGTCCCAGAATATTACATAGGAGTATAGGAGTACAGGACTTTTTACAGATTTTTGAGGCAAATGATTGCCCTCTGCTGGATAACCTGTGCAAAGTGCATGAAAATTAACCGGTATACATAGGAGTATATATGTATTTCAATCTGTTGAGACTGCACAGGGCTCTAGGGAGTAGGTGGGGGTGTGGGAGTACAGACAGATGTTAAGGGCCTGCAGAGTTAGGATGAGTGGGTGGAATTAGGATCAAATGTGTTTTCTAATCAGAGAAGATGTGTTTTCCTGTGGATGCTGACTCAATCTTCTGGCTCTCCTCTTCAGAGATTTCTGTGGGCTTGGGGGTGGGTTCTACAACTCAAGACAGCAGACACCAGAGCTGGAAGATATGGTAGGCTCTAGTGCTGGTACTGTTCCTGACTCACTGTATGGTTTCCAACTAATCATTTAACCTTTCTGTGCCTCAGCTTCCTCATTTACAAAATTAGGATCCACTTTTACCCCTTTTTTGGTGAATAAACTGAGGCAATTGTAAATTTCAATCTTTGCTTCCTTTTCTACCTTAGTTTGTGAATTGAAAACTCCAACAATGAGTGAATTTCTTAGCGGCCTGGAGAGCTCAGGGTGGTTGAGACACATTAAAGCTATTATGGATGCTGGAATTTTCATTGCAAAGGTAATAATCAGGACTTTTAAGAACTTGTACTAACTTTAATTATGGGATCTTTTGAGGTAGCAGTTTACCATGGTGGAAAGAATATTGAAAAGAAACCTAGTTTCTAGATTCAGCTCTGCTATTCACCGTGTGCCCTTGGCAAATCTCATCCCTTCTTTGGGCCTCAGTTTCTTCATCTGTAAAAACAAGGTAGTTGGACTAGAATCTAATGATATAATTTTGGGGGCCTACAGAACTCTTTGGGAATATGATTGGCCCTCTCCCCCTGGAAAAATGTGCATATGGCTATATATACAGAAAATGGACCTCAATTTCAGAGGGCCCACAGACCCCTAAACCTCAGATTAAAAGATCATTAAAATGATCTCTAATGGTCCTTCCAGCTCAAATACTCTCTGTTGCATTTTTGCGTTGATTCTAAGGTATCAAGTGGAAGTAAGAATGGGTGTAAATAAATGCAGAGCTTGTGTGTCAGTGGGTATTCAGAGCTCTGAGTATAAAGCAGACCTTTTTGACTTCTTTCTATAGGTCTGCCTCAATGCAGTCGAGGCAGGCATCATCACTCATTCATAGTGACACTTATTTTCTGACTGCCAGCACCTTGGGTTCTTTATCATTTGTAAGGTAATATAAAAAAAATAAAAAAATAAAAAGAAGAAGAAGAAGAAGAAGATGAAAAAGAAGAAGAAGAAGAAGAGGAGGATGAAGAAATTGAGAGTGTACATTTTCTCATTTTGAAGTTTTGTCTATATGTATACCTACATGAGAAGTCTCCCTCTTCACCCCACCCCCGTTGTTTGATAGAAGTAAAGAAAAGGAGAGAGTGACTTTTCATCCCTCTGCTGTCATTTTCTCATTTGAAGGTAATGAGATATAGAGCTTCTGGCTTAAAAGATTTGAAGAGTATATGCAGTTAACTGCCTTAAACATCCAGCCCTCATGCTTTTTGGCTTTTGTAGTCATGTTGCCTACAGTTTTTACATAACATGTTACTAATGTTTACTGTGTGATCTCTTTGGTTGTTTCGAGACTACTGTTCTAACCATTCTTCATACTGTTCCTTTTTCACATGCCCTATACCCATACATCTATATTCCCTTTCTAAAGTAGACTTTATTAAACCAAAGACAGTGAGGATGGAGAAGAGGGATCAATTTGATAGACACTTCAACCTTATAAGTATTGATTGGATTAAAATGAGTGGATGAAAAACTAAACAGGCTTGGGATTGCACAATTATCCCGTGCTCCCCATCTCCATTACCACCTATCCCTTATCTCGAGCTTCAAAACTCAGTCAGCCTTGAATTGTGTTTCTAGCCCTCCATCTGGCAATTGCCTACTCCTGTCAGTTCTACCTCAGAAGTGTTTCTCAAATCTGTCCTTTCTCCCCAGTCTCTACTACTACTACCCTAGTTAAAACATTCATCATCCCTTGCTTAAAGTACTCTAATAACTTCCTAACTTGTTCACTTTGTAATATAATTTGCATTTTTCTTACTTACTCTCCAGTTGGGCCACCGAATTGCTTGTAAAATCATCTTTCTTGAGCACATCTGATAATGGCACTTTAAACTCAAATCCTCCAATGACTCCCCATTGCCCATCAAATTCTGGCAAAAGTGAACTTCTTCTTCTCAAAATCATTATAGTACCCCTCCCTCTGTCTTTTTCTCTCTCATTATCTTTATTTTTTCCTCATTACAAAAGTTGTACATGCCCATTATTAAAGAAGTAAACATTTCAGAAACATACAACATCAAATGTAAATGTTCCCTGTAGTTTGCCCCACAGCATGCACACCATCAGTAATAGTTTAATGTGTATGCCCCTACAGCAGCACTATTCAAACTTTCTGTGATGATGGAAATTTTCTACATCTGTAATAACATGGTGGCCACTAGCCACATGTGGCAATTATACTCTTGAAATGTGACTAGTGGGACTGAGAAACTGCATTTTACATTTTATTCGATCTTAGTGAATTTCAATTTAAACAGCCACTTCTGGCTAGTGATTGCCATATTGGACAGTGCAGCTCTAGAGTTTTTCAACATATCTACTTATATATATGATTACTACTTTGTAAAAATGGAATTATACTGTTCATATCGTGCTGAATCTGACTTTTTATACTTAATGTATGATGAACATTTTCCAGGTCATTTCAGTCAGTACTACTTTATTGTTTTCAGTGATTGTATCATATCCCACTATGTGAACTTACCCTAGTACCCTGTTAATGGGCACTTCACTTATTCCCATTTTCAACCAGTGTAGACATTATTGCACCAGATACCCTTGAACACATATATTTGTATGTGTGGACATTCCTAGGAGTGAGTTTTCTGAGTCAAAGAGCATGAATACTAGATGTGGCCAAGTTGCCTTCCAAATAGGTCACAGCAGTTTCTATTCCCACCAACAATGCCAATTTCTCCACATTGCCAGTAATGGTTATCATCAGTCTTTTTAATCTTTGCCAATATGATAGGTAATATATTTTTGTCCTGTTTTAATTTGCATTTCTTTAATCATTAGTGAAGTCCAGCATCTTTTCCTGTCCACCAGTGACTTTTCACTCCATTTGGAGCCCTAAGGAAAGTGTAGTTGCTACTTTCAGAACTCTGATACTACCTCAGGTACCTGGTTAACTGAGAAGTTAAAAAGGTTGAGAAATTTTTCCTGATCTCTCTGACTCTTGTCTTACCTGCAAGGTAACTATCCTTCTAGGAATATCATTTCTTTTGTATCCTCTACTATAAAGGTCACTTACTTTCCCACACCCCATGAACCACAGGGCCCATGGCAGTTCAGTATTTTCCTTGTTCCTTACAAAACTCCTTCCTCCTTTCAGGTCTATTCCACTTAAATAAACCTCTGTACCTCTCCTAGTTATTCTTTCTTCGCCATTATGAGCTTTGGGAACAGCCTTACTACCTTCCTCTCCATCCTGATTCTTCTCATCCCAGGAGATTTGAATGTCCTTGTATAATTTGTTGCACACTGTGCACTGATAGTTCTTTGAGCTTTTATAGTCCAGTTCTCACTCCTACTCCATCTAGCCTGGTTCTTCTGTCCCATAGACACCTACATATACACTTTTAACTCCTTTTTCCACCTTTTCCCACATTCTTCCCTATCTAGCCAAGACCTGGTGGTATAGCACTTCGTCCATTCCACTGTGCCCCTTATCTTTCCACTCTGCCTGCCTTGCTAACCCCAGTTATTCTCTACATTCTCTGCTCTTACACCTGACTACTAAACATTGCTACAAAGAAATAAATCCCATAGTCATGTTAATTGGTACTATCACAGACAGGTTCATGGTCTATAATTTTAGCTGTAGTTGTGTAGTCTTAGGGCCACTTAGAAGTTATTTTATGTGTCCCTGGTTGGGTCCCAGTCCTGTTTCACCAAGCAGCTATGCCTAATTTGTACCTTGCTTTCAAGCTGGCTACACCACTGTTACTCTTCTCTCTATAAGCACATATTCAAGAATGTCTCCTTCTTAATGGAAAAATCAAGGTCATCTCTCATCTTCCACTACTAATATCCCTATCGACTTTTTGTGTGTGTGTCTCCTTCCTTGCTACCTTAGAGAAAATGGTGTCCCATTTTCTGTGTATGACTAATCTCTCTACCTGTATTCTAAATCCCATCCCCTCTTCCTTCAAGGAACCTCTTTCTCCTACATTTTAAACCTATTCCTTTCAATGGCTTCATCTTTCAGAAATATGCTCAAATACTTTCTCATTCCTAAAGAAAAAGAACTTTTCTTATCCTCTTTTAGTTGTTGTCCTCTTTTTTATTGGGTAGAGCTTTCTTGAAAGTAGTTTACCTTCCCCATGAGCACTTCCTCATCTCCTTTCACTTTTCAGTTCACTGTGATAAGATTTCTCTACCATTACTACTACTCTTGCTGAGGTCACTAATGGCCTTTGACTTGTCAAATCTAAGGGTCACTCTTTTTTTTTTTTTTTTTTAGCTGAGCCATCCTGCCACCTGATGGCAGCTCAGCTCAGGCCATGAATTGAACCAGCGACTCTTGCTCAGAGCTCACGCTCTTGAGTGAGTTCTTAACCAACTGAGCCACTCAGCCAGCCCTCTAAGGGTCACTCTTTAATTTGTTCTATTTTGACCTCTTTCCTGCATTTGGCACTGTTAACCCTTTTATCTTTGAACCATTTTGTAGTCCTGGCTTTAACCCTTTGTACCTTTCAGGCTACTTTTTCATAGGCTGTCTCCTGTAATATCACCCCCATGCCCCCTGCATTTTCCTTTAAAAATCACTGCTTCTTCAGGTCTTTTTTTCCTCTTACTTTGGTCTCTGCCTGGACAGCACCAGCCGTACCCAGTTTTCACTACCATCTCTATTCATTTAGTTGTCAAATCTACACTCTGGCCCAGCTTCCTCCCTTTCCTGGACTTCCGACCCACATATCCAGTTGTCACTGGATTCTCCATTGGATGTCCCTCAACTGCCTCACACTCACCATGGCCCAAACTGAAATCTTATCTACTCCGCAAAACAACTAAAACTTGTTTCTCCTTCTGTGTTCACTTTAACAGTACTATCATCCACCAAGTTATTAACCCACACATTTCATAGTCATCCTTGACTCTTCTTCTTCATCCCATATCCTTTTTCATTCTTAACACCCTCTTCTTCTTTTCAACCTCACTACTACTACTCTAGTTCAGGCCCTCATAGCCTTTTACAATTTTAGTAGCTCTGTGATTGGTCTTCCTAAATCCAAATTCAAGTCCTCCCGATTCATTCTCTTTAACTGCTACCACAGTGAGAACATCTTATCAAGACACTCCTCTGCTTTTAACACCTCGGTGGCGCCCTGTTGCCACCAGATACAATGCACACTTGTCATTCTGACCCTTGCCCTCCTGGGCAGGCCTGCCTCTCCTTAATCCCAGCCTAGCCTCAGCCATTACCAATGTGCTTAAGAGTTCCTCAACTGGGTCATACCTCCTGCATTTCTGCATGCTGTCATCTTGTGCCCCCTGCCTGGAATGTTCTTTCCTCATCCATCTGATAAATGCCTACTCATCTGACAAGCCCACTTTAGTTGTCTGCTTTTCTTTGGTTATTTTGAGCCTTTGTTGTACCTGGTAGAACTTACGACTTGTACTGTTTTAGTTATCATTGGTTTGTAGTTGTTCATGTAAGTGTTTGTCTCCTTTGTATCCCCAGTGCATATCATAGGGTTTCTTATATAGTCACTCAGTAATTATTGGCTAGGTGGTTGGATGAATGAATGAGTGAATACGAGGTTGGACAATTAAGTTCACGAACTCATCCTAGAAAAAGTACTACATACCTCATTGCTGAATATCACTATGATCACCTTCAAAGTACTCCCCTTAGGAAGCTAAACACTGACACCAGCGCCTAGTCCATCCTTCAAAGCAATTTTGGAACACTTTCTGGAATGGACATCAAGAGTATTATCGTGATGCAAGAGCCATGAATTGCTGACAAAAAGTTCAGGTCATCTAACTTTTTTTTTTAAAGTTCTCTTCTATTCCTAATTTGCTGAGAGTTCTTTTTTTTAAAATATTTTTATTGGGGAATTGGGGGATGAGAACAGCGCTGGGGAATTGGGGGAAGGGGAACAGACAAGTTGCTGTCCTTTTGTTCTTCAGTCTAGTTGTGGAGGACGTGGCTTCACTGGCCCAAGTTGACACCATCATTGCGCTCTTCCCGGGCGAGGCACATCAGTCGACGGCTTCTGGACGGCCACTCACTGCGGCTGCTGGCCGGTCTCGCTGGCTGCTGGCTACACACAGTAGCCCATGGCAACCCACTGCAGCAGGGGCTGCAGCCTACGCTGTTGCCGGCGACTCACGGCAACCCAGCTCCAGGTTGAGCTGTTGTTCAGCATCTTAGCTGTGGAGGGCAGTGTCACTGGCCCTCATATGTGGGATCTGATCCGGGGCCCTCTGGCATCCCAAGCCAGCTCTTAACCAACGCGCCACTCGGCCGGCCCTCATCTAACTTTTTCACACAGTCTTTTCAGCACTTCCAAATGGTAAACTTGGTTAACTGTTTGTCCAGTTGGTACAAATTCATAATGAATAATCCCTCTGATATCAAAAAAGTTTAGCAACATCCTTGCAACAAGTTCATGAACTTAATTGTCAGACCTTGTAAATTTCCTTCTTCTTCATCTGAGGAAATGCTACTCTTTCTTCAAGGCTCAGGCTTCCCTGACTCCTACAGAAGGATATAGTTATTATACATTACTCTATAACAGCAGTTTTTCACTGTATTATATTTATTTATTTACCTTTGGTCACCCTAGTTTGTGAGTTCCTTGAAGGCAGAAACTAAGCCTCATCTTTGTATCTCTAATACCTAGCACATACTTGGCACAGAGAGATGTACATAATTAAGTGTTAGAATGAATAAGTGGATGCTCAATATCTATCATTGCCAAAATTGCCCACATTGAGTAACTGCCCAGATCTTTACATCATTTGATTGTACAGAAACTTGCCTAAGACAGGTAAACCTCTCCATATTAAGTCGGAAGGATTTATGTTAGTAAGACTAAATGCCTAAAGACTCCAGAGGAAATCATTTTTAGATCTGGGACTGGAATGCAGAACTCTCCTATCCGTGTTTGGGGGGCATTGATTCTTCCTTTCGCCCACTCCTCTCTCTCAGAATTGATCCTGTCTTCTATAAAAGTTTTGTGAACTTAGAACTCCCTTGTTTTTCTTTTTACTCTGAATTATATATTGGTTTTGATTTTCTTTACCTGTTAAGTAAGCTCTCCTTCTTCTGTTGCACTCCTTTATTTTCTTTTTTATTCCCCATAGAGGATGCCAATATTATGAGAAGAAATTCATGTAGCCCAGTAAGACCAGGTTCTCCGTGCCATAGGGATGGTATTGGATAACCCTATTTATTAACCCAGCATCGTATGCAAAAGTTGTGTATGCTACTTTTTGCCTCTTTTCTTCACAGGCGGTGAAGGTAGAAAAGGCCAATGTCTTAGTCCACTGTTCTGATGGGTGGGATCGCACAGCACAAGTCTGCTCTGTGGCCAGCATCCTCCTAGATCCATTTTATAGGACATTCAAAGGTCTCATGGTAAGAGAGCAAGCAAAATTGTAGTTTACTTTGCATGAGTGACAGATTGTGGGTAAATCAAAAAGAATGCTCAACTGACTTGTTTTGTATAAGGAGTTCCAAATCTACAAAAATAGCTTTGTTTTTCAATTTAGCTTCTTTCTACTAATTTAGGCATTTGCACTATATACGAGGTGTGATCAAACAATACAGTGGCTGTTTAAATAAAATTTATTACAGTAAATGACACATTGCCATTAATCCCCCTCAAACTACGCCCCCTCACTTCGAACGCACTTATCCCATTGTTCTTGCCACTTTCTGAAGCAGTTCTGAAGTCCTCTTTTGTGAGTGTCTTTAGTTGCGCTGTCATGGCTGCCTTGATGTCCTGAATCATTTTGACTTTGGGGAAGAGCCAGAAGTTGCACGGTGCCAGATCCAATGAATAAGGTGGATGAGAACACACTGTAACATTTTTATTTGACAGAGCCTTTTATTTGACATGGAGACTTTCCATTGTGATCAACAAATATGGTAAATGCTGCTGCCAAGTGCCATCCAGTGAAAGGGCAGAGGTCTTCAGTATGGGAAGTGGCCTGTTAAACCTTAGTTACAATGTGTGACAAGTTTCAACTTGTTTGGTGCAATCAGTCGCGTGTGAGCTACGGTTGAGAGACGGTGTGTTTTAAAGTGTGCTGTAAATCATCCTCCATCATGACAATGCTCCGTGTCATAGATCGCTTCTGGTATGGCAGTTTCTGTTAAATAAAAACATTATGATGTGTCCTCATCCACCTTATTCACCAGATCTGGCACCATGTGACTTCTGGCTCTTCCCCAAAGTCATAATGACCATGAAAGGTAAACGTTTTGAATCGATTCAGGACACTGAGGCAGCCACAACAGTGCAACTAAAGACATTCACAAAAGAGGACTTCCAGAACTGCTTCAGCAAATGACAGGAATGATGGGATAAGTGTGTTTGAAGCGAGGGGGAGTATTTTGAGGGGAATTAATGGCAATGTGTCTTTTACTGTAATAATTTTTTTATTTAAACATTCACTGTATTGTTTGATCACACCCCATATACTTTCTGTTGTACATTCAGCATAATTTCTTACCTATCAGAAGGTAAGTTATATGTAACAGATGTAATAGACTACTGTAAGGGCTACGAGAAACTCAAAAAGTTTGCAAAGCTGACTAGATGACTGTTAAATAGACTGTTTGATGGGTTCATCATCTTCAACATGTCAGCTGTTTGGATGTCAGACTCATGATTGTTTTCTGTTGCTGAATCCAAAGCTTCTTAGTTGATCTTCCTAAGAAACAGAACTCACATTGGAGTTAATCCCCATTTTTTGGAAATGCTTTTTTTTTAATGGTTGAAAATAGGTTTATGCTGAGATTTGTTCTTGGTACAGACCTGAGTACTGATTTTGAAGCCCTGTTTCTTCATAGATTGAATTTAATATCATGTTTATCAGTATTTCCTTTAGTTATGGCTCACACATCATGTAAAAGCGAAAAGAAATGTGACACTGGATACACATCCAGAATAGTTTCTCTTGAGAGCATTTGAATTTTGAAGGCAGCCTTTGCAGGCCTTTAAAGGAAATCCAAGTTACTTACTTAGTTATCATTTGGGAAATTAACTTTATTTATTATCAGTCCATCCAAACTTATACAAAGCCTGTTTCAGGAAAGTGTTTTGATATTTTTGTATGTATGGCTAATTCATTTTATGATTTTCCTAATGCAAACTTTTCTTTTTGTATAAAAATGAAGATCCTGATAGAGAAGGAATGGATATCCATGGGCCACAAGTTCTCCCAAAGGTAAAATTACCCTCATTTTAAAGGAGGAGGCTAAATAAAGGTCATTCAGGTGAGGTTTATCAAAATCCAGTATGTTCTTATATATGAAGGAGCAGTAAGTTGAACGTGGCATAAATCTCTTTTCATCAAGAAACAAGTATTCCAGACACTTTGCTATAGTACTAGGGCTGAAAAGGTGACTAGAATATTATCTCTGCCTTCAAAGTGTGCAAATTATTATATCAAATTGTTAAATATTTCCGGGAAGAATAAGGTATCACGGATCATAGAGGAAAAAGTGCTTAACTCTGCTTGAACAAGTCAGGACAGGTGTCCAGGAATAGGCAGCATTTAAAGATGAATTTGGGGGGATGAATAGAAGTTTACTAGACAGAACAGTCGTATGAGAAGGTTATTCAGGCAGAGGGAATACTATCTAAGACAATGCATCTTTTAACCTTTTATCAGAAAAAAGACAGGTGCAGATTTCTCTAGTAAGAAAGGGTTAGTACAAGGGCTTACATTCATCTACTGTCTGCTATAAGCCAAACATCCTCACTGAGACTTTACCTATGTTATCAGAACAATCAACGAATATTGACCAAATACTTAACAATATGCTGCATACTATATCAGTCACTGAGCCGATACAAAAGGCACATAAAATGTTTTACTCTCAAGGAAGTTACAATTCAGGCTGTATTCTCCTCCATTGGTGTGTATCCATTTAACTGCATTTGATTGTCACTCTCTAGCCATTTGGGTCCATTCATTTATTCGTCCTTCTTCAACAAGCTTTGAGCCAAGCAGTATGCTAGGTTTTAAGGAGACTATGTTATCAGATATGGTCTCTGTCTCTCCTACAGAAAAGAAAATCAATGATGATAGTATGTTGGGAGAGGAACGCCTGAATACTGTACGTCAAGGAGTTCATCACCGATTTCCTCCCATGCTTTTAAGTCTACTATTCCTAAATTAGGTGACCAGGAACAATAATTTTCAATTACCTTTAAAAACTCTTCTATATATATATATATATATATATTTATAGTTGACATACAATATTATACAACATCAGCTTCAGGTGTACAGTGCAGTGATCAAGCCTCTTGCCCATCCATGATGCAAGACATGTGACCGCCTGACACCCTACAAAATATTTACATTATTCATTATATTCCTCGAACTGTCTTTCATGTCCCTGTAGCAATATTGTAGTTACCTATTTATGCTGTCTAATCTCTCCCGCTTCTCTGTCATCCCCACCCCCCTCCCAACTAGTAGCCATCAGCTGCACCCCCACATCTCTGAGACCACTTCTGTTTACTTTCCTTGTTCATTCAGTTTTTTAGATTCCACATATAAGTGAAATCATATGGTATTTGTCTTTCTCCGACTGACTTATTTCACTTAACATAATGTTCTCTAAGTCCATCGATATCGTCCCAAATGGTATGATTTCATTCTTCTTTATAGAGGATTAATACTCCATTGTGTGTGTGTGTGTGTGTGTGTGTGTGTGTGTGTATATATATATATATATATAGTCATGGAACGTGGAGTATAGTATGGGAGTGGAGGCAAGGGAATTATAATAGATATGTATGATATTGGGGGGAAGTGGGGTGGTGGATTGGGGGAGGCGGGTTGTCACTTCGAGGCATAAAAAGTATAACTATTGCACTGTGTTGTACAGCTGAAACTAAGTCTAAAAAATGTGTATTTCATAATAAAAAAGAATTAAAAGAGAAAAAACGGAGGAAACTGGCAAAAAAAACACTCTTCTAATCTCTGGTCTGAAATTCAAGCTCCCCCAGCTTTAAGAAGCTGTTTGAATAGAGAAATATAAATAGAAATGGCTCTCAGCATTTCCCATGTTTGTAACTAGAAAGAAAGTAAGCGTTTCTTTCACTCACACATTCACACTCTTTCACACAAGTTTTTTTGTTTCTCTCTTTTTTTTTTAGTAAATTTCCATTTACCTTGGATTTTCCCTACCTCTTTATCCTGGTAGTTGTGCGTGGCTCCTCCCTGGGGCCCTATCGCGTTAAACCTTTTTTCTTTTTCTTTTTCTTAGACTTGAAGTCTTCCTTCCCTCTTCGAGGCCCCACGTTAGGGCACCAGATATGATGTCCCACGTGACAAGGGCTGGGGGGTTCGAGGAGGGGCAGCAAAGGGTTAAGAAAGCACAGGAGTCAAAAGTAGAGTTTCTGCAGGCCAGGGGTCTCTTCTCTGCAGACTGAGAGAGTGAGCCCTGATACTGGTGGGCATAAGGCTTTTATTTATAACTGTCACAAAGAGGTCATTTTGAATATCTATATTCAGTTAATTGATTCAATTAGACTGGCAGCTGCTTCACCAAAACTCATTGTGATTAAGCATGAGTTGTGCTTTCACACATGTGTATGACCCTCGGGATGGCATCAGCATTCCAGACCACCTGATAAGGAAGTTTTACCGAGATCATTCCCTCGGGTGTTAGCATTCCAAGCCACTTCCTTATGACTTCAAAGGATCAGTGCGCAGGGGCATTGAGTCGGCAGCTTCAAGGTGACAATAGTATAGTGTGATAAGTGCTAAGACAAAGGTAAATATAAACAAAAGAACCTAACCCATTCTGGGGCAAAGAAGGCTTCCTGAAATTGGTGGCTTTTTAGAGCATTAAAGAATATAAGGTTGAAGACTTGAAAGAGAAAGTGGGTGTTTGGAAGAGTAAGACTCCTGAGGAGACAAGAGGGAGTGAAAGCTACAATTTAAATGAAAAGATTAGCATTAGCAATAATTAAGAACACATCTTCTATGGAGACTGGATGGAAGGACAGGCAGTGAAGGAAATAAGTGTGCGAATGTCAGAGCAGAAGTTAGATATTTTTACTTGATGGCCTGTCTTTTCCTAGTGGTACTGTAGACACCAGTGTGAAATAAGTTAGGGGTTTGAGAAGGTAGCTTAAAATTTGCACGAGCTGTAAGGTTGATGGGAAAATGGTGTTAAGGACATACGTAAAGATTATTTGGGAGCAACTAACTTCTAGGTGAGTTTGGAGACTTAATTTTAAATGGCATCAGTTTGCATGGTTCCATAATATTTTCAAGCAGCATTCATCAGTCTGAATCTGTGAGCAGAAAATGTCACATTTTAGGCTCATCTATAGCTTGATTTTGAATGTGAATAATTACAAGAAAGACCAGAAAAGTTGAAGAAAATGGGGAGAGAATAGTTGATGGGGCAGACCATAGAGTACAGGCTGGATAATAAGGACAAAAGGGAAGCCAGTAGGAATCTGGCAAGCTGAGAGGTTCAGAGATAAGGGCTGGAGAGGTAAGATAAGCAGCCTTTGGAAATATAATATATGGCAGTCAGTGTAGGATATTGAGATTAAAATTTTAAAGTGCAGTTTGAACCTCTGGGTAACTTGAAGATCCAGCCTATGACCACGGATATGGGAGGCTGATAGTGGAGGAAAGGTAAAGATCAGTGAAGATAATTGGATTTGAGTTAGTTGAGGAACCTGCTAAGCCAGTGTAGGTCATCTGCATGAATCCCAAAGATAAGACTTAAGATAGGAGTCAGATTCTTCAGAAAACATGGGGAAGTGACCCAGAGACTGGGAGAAGACAACATTGAGGAAGGGGAAGGTAGTATTAGCTAAACAGCATGACTCATAAGGGAAGTATTTTTAAGAGTGAAAAGAATGATAGAAAGCAGTGGTAGGAGCAAGGAGAAAGCTGAGCCAACCTTTGCCCTGTTTTGAATTATGATATGTGGAGAGGGAAATGATGAGCATTCTCCATTTGACTTGGGCCTCAGGAAGAGGTGGTGCCCTTGGTGAGGCATATTTTAGTTAAGTCAGAAGTTAGAACACACCATGTAGAGGCCAAAGATGCCATGTTTATCTCCAGTGGAATAGAGTTTCCAGTGGATGGTAGAGTTGGTAAAGAGGGCATCATGGGGGAGGAAACATTAAACAGTTCTAGGATAAGTTTGTTCATTCACTCAATAAATGTTTATTAAATACCTATTTTGCATCAAGAACTTTACAGTAAACAATGTAAGTATGGTCCTGACTCACAAGAGTTAAATGTGGCTGTTTAGGTTTAAATTATAATAATTATAATTAAACACTGCAGTTAAAAATTCAGTTCCTCAATCACACTAGCCACAATTTCAAGTGCTTATTAGTTAGTGACTACCATATTGGACTACAGAAATATGGAACATTTGTATCACTGGAGAAAATTCTATTGTAAAGAGGGTGTAGGAGGAAATAGAATAGATGACCAAAAGGCTTACAACCTGGATGATGGCGAAGGATGCCAGTAGCTAAGAGATTTGTTGGGATTAACAAGCTTTGAGATTCTGAGTGGCATTTTGGCATGAGGTGTTTACTTGCCAATGACAACAGAGACAAAAAGTGACCTCATTATAGCCCAGGGGTCGGCAAACTGCGGCTTGCGAGCCACGTGTGGCTGTTTGGGTATGTTCCGTCTCAAAAGTTTGCCAACCTCTGGAAGAGCTAATCCTGTCCCTCACAACAATTTAAAAATTATGAGAGCCATAAATATATTTTTACATAATCACCATTGTGTGAATAATATCCTTTAAAAATTTTATAAATGAAACTATAATAGTTTCGTTTTCATTTTCAATTTTACTTCAGAGACACATGTATGTATCCAAAGAGCCGCATGTGGCTCGCGAGCCGCAGTTTGCTGACCCCTGGGCGGCTCTTCCATCTCAAAAGTTTGCAGACCCCTGTTGTAGCCTATTCCAAACAGTGTAATCCCAGATGTGAGATGTTGTCTTTCTTTACCTTTATTTGCATCTCTCAGGTGTGGCCATCTGGATGGGGACTCCAAAGAAGTGTCCCCTGTCTTCACCCAGTTCCTAGACTGTATCTGGCAATTAATGGAACAATTTCCCTGTGCCTTTGAGTTTAATGAAATCTTCCTGCTGGAGATCCATGACCATGTCTTTTCCTGCCAGTTTGGGAACTTCCTTGGAAACTGCCAGAAGGATCGGGAAGATCTGAGGTGAATACAGTTTGTGACAAAACACTGAATAGGGAGAGAGGCTCAGTGTGAAAGGAATGTGCACACCACCCTGAATTTGGGACCGGAGTTCAGGAAAGGGGAGGAGATGACAACTATAAAAAAGAACTTTTGAAGCGTAAAGCACTCACTGTTTGCATGGGGATTCCTCAGAACCTCAGATTCCTTATCTGTAAAATATGGATAACAACACCTGCTTTTTGGAGCAGTCATGAGGAACTGATAAAAAATTGATGTACAAGGACTTTGTAAAGAATCAGTTACTGTGCAGACATGAGTAGTCATTATCTGCAGTCCTTCATCATTTGTATCAGAGATCAAAAAATGGCAGCTCATAAGCCAAATCTGGCTCAACAGGCATGTTTTGTTTAGTCTGTGGAGTATTTTTTACACTGAATTAGTTGTCAGCATTTTAATATCAGGATATTTCACATGAAAATATAATTATTTTAGAATTTTATCCTAAATAGAAAAGCCGTTGTGCCAAGATACTGTCCAGAAAAATCAGGAGGTCTGGCAACACTGGACCTGTGTTTTCTCATGGCCATGATCAGCTAGAGCTGAATAGCAGCTACTCAATGTGAATGAGGCAAACTCACTCGTGTTTGCCACAGTTCTCCTCACTCTCTGTAGTGTATTCTCAGCCTTTTTCTAATGTTATCTTCCTAGCTCCCGTAGGTGGCTGAATTTGCACTCGACTTAAACTCTAACATCCCCACAATATCCAAAGAGTAAATACTTTTTGAGGTTGACATGATAGAGTTGCTGTGAGCAGCATTCTCTGTTCTAGAGATGAAAAAATAGACAGGGAAGTAGTTGTCTCACACCGTACTCTGTTTCACAGCTGTTGGTTGAATATCAGTCAGCTCAAGTTCTCAGGCCCCTTTATGACGCATCCTGGATGACATCACTTCTCTGTGATTCCATTTCGTTGTCAAAACAGAGAACAGTGATGGATCTTGCTGCTTTAACATTTGTACTCACTTGGCAGCTTCTGTGCATATTTCTCTTCCTTTTTGCAACCAGAGCTTTCTTACCCTCTCCCTAAATGCTTTTAGACACATTCATTCTGTCTAGGCATTAAATAAAACTCACGATCTTTTCCATATTCTTTTTCCACCCTCTTAAAATGAGGCTAATATATCCTAGACCCATTCTCCACTCAAATCTGAATCTCCATGTAAAAGTACAAAAGCTCAACATTTTAATACATCTTAAAATAGGGATTACTTAAAAGAAGCAGAAGTATCATTCATTCATGAAAGGGAAAGTATGGGCTCCTAGATCTAATCAGAGAGACCTGGATTCAAGTTTTGGCTATGTTACCTCCTGGAGATATGACCTTTAGCAAATAAATTTTTGTCTCATTTTCTCATTACTAATTTGTGGATAAAATTTAATGAGGTATTTTAGGTAGAGTCTGGAACAGTGTTTGACACATAGTAAATACTCAATAAATGTTAGTTACCTTACCTCTGCAAGATTTTTTTTCTGTTTTTAACCAGCAACAAATGAAGAAGACAGATTTAGGGCTTTTGGCCTCACCAGGATGGTCTGAGGATTGTAAAAGTTAAAAGACTGCAATTTATCTCCTACCACCC